GTGTTAGAGGAAGGAAGTCACACAGGTTGCATAAGGTTCTAGAACAGGAGCTCTGACCATTAAGTCTTAATGTGCAAAAATGAAGTAGAAAACAAAAGTAACCACTCTGCTAATTCTGAGTGATTACTTCTTTCTGTAACACCAACTAATTAATTGAAAGTACCTTCTTGGCTAGAATCATACACTTTAATATGAGCATAAAAACAACCTGCTTCTAATTTTCCACTGATAAACCTTTATTGCTGGTAGTGAGTAAGTGGAGGAGTAAGGAGAACAACAATACATGATGTTTTAGTCATCTTCTCAGAATAAACACCAATACACAGACAGAACAGAATAGGCACTGCCTTAAACACAACTGAAGAGATGACTGTAAAATCCTTTTAACCTAAAGCAAAACAGTCACTTAGAGAAAAAGCAAAGTATAACATACAGTATGAAAAGTTACCGTGTACGTTTAAAAAATTAAGTGTGCCATATGTACTTATTTAAACACCAAAAATTTAAAAAGCTACAAAGTCCAAAATTGAAGCACTTTGTGAGAGCATGTAGACATACTGCAGCAAGCACTGTAAACAAGAGAGATCAACCTGACAATACATAAGCCACAAAAAAAAAATCACGATCCCTGGTGAGGGATATGAATATTAGTACTTTGAGGCAGACGGTAGAATGAAATAACACAATTTAAAAATACATTTTTGCTGTAATGATTTAAAAATGGTAAGCCCCTTATAATTACTATTTCTGCTATAAACAAACAATGAAGATGTTTTAAAAGTAGTACCTCCTACACAGAGATGGTGAAAGTTGTTGCACTGAAGAAACAACACTGGAAGACTATGTAAACACAATGAATAACACACATTTGGGAGAGGCCATGGAGCTGAACAATATTTAACACTAATGAGTTCTACTTTACATATTTAAAGATAGTGATGCCCTTTGTGCTGTTTTCCCTCCATACCATGCAGACTATATAGGCACTGGGAGGTAGGGAAAGTTCCGAAGACAATTCAACTTCAGGTAGGAACCTGAACAACATTTAGGAAATTTAGCCATCACTACTTTGAATACATTGCTCTTAAGATTTGGGGAGTTTTCTTTTTCCTTTTTTTTTTTTTTGGTGCTGGTCATGGGTTTGAACTCAGGGCCTGGGCACTGTCCCTGAGCTTTTATGCTCATGGCTAATACACTGCCACTTGAGTCACAACTTCACTTCTGGCTTTTTGGTAGTTTACTAGAAGAATCTCATAGCCTTTCTTGCCCAGGATGGCTTTTTAACCAAGATCCTCAGATCTCAGCCTTTTGGGTACCTAGGATCACAGGAATGAATCACCAGTGCACCTGGCTCAAATTTAATCATTTGGGTGACAACTGGAGAGTGAAGACAAAAACAAATGGCTAGACTCCTGCTCATGAGCTAAGACCTCCGACACCAGGGAGGCTGCCGGCAGCTCCCAGGCGCCCGCTCTCGTGGTTACCTTGATCGACTCACACTTGTCCCTCAGTCCCCCGTGGCTAACAGAACAAAACCATTTCCCGATAAGAACACTTTCATCTCCTTTCAGGAAACCAAAGAAGGAACCGAGTGTGAGGGTCTCCAGAGAGGTAAATTTGAGGTGTCTTCCATTCAAGGTGAGAATGACATGGGTTGAGTTCCTTGCTGCTTTGGGGCCTCTGCGGTGGAGGCAGCTATCGGGCAGATGGAATAATGGACTGCCAATGACCAATAAGCAGAGGACAAGTGCTGCACTTTCTTCCTTCAACAGGCCTGCTATGTACACTGCTTTGGCGTCTCCTCACCAAGGACATTGATCTGTGGGCTCCTACAGAGCCTTTGCCTTTATATCCATATTTACATTCTCCATCCTTGTTGAAAAACCCCAGACAGAGGTCTGCAAATAGCAGGCTTAAGAATGAACTTGGCCACTGGAGCTACAGAAAACAAGATCAATAAAGCCAATAGCATGTGAGTTAGTGGCCACAGAACTTCCAAGAAAGGAAAGAAAGAAAAAATGCCTAACAATTTAACAAGTTTTGGGGTTTTTTTTTTTTGGTCATTTTACTTGGTATCTAAAGCACCTTAATTACTTGAAGCTTTACAGTGAGATTAAGTTTGTATTTTTTGAGCAATTCTGAAATCTGCCCTGTTTAAAAATCTGTAACATCAAGAAAACATTTTCAAGTATCTCTCACCATTAAATCCATCCATAACCTTGTATAAATCAAAATTTTGCTACCATATCAAAATGTAACAATGGGGCTGTATAACATGGCCCACATCCTCATTACATGCAACACTAATTACTACCAGCAGATCCAGAATTTTCTGCACATTAGAGGCTTTTAGAGGAGCTATAAAAAATTTCAGGCACCATTAATTTAAATTTGTATTGAAATTTCCTTTTGACAGATGGCCAAAATTTACTTATTATTTAGAGTACCAGAGCTGCCTGTTTGCACATTAGAAGAGGAAAGGGAAAAATTAAAAGCAAGAAGGAAATTTATGTCACGTGCATTACCTGCTAAATGTTAAGGAGCATTATCCTGCATGAATAAATTATTTCATACAAGCCTGACCCCAGCTGCAGGCAACTGGCACACTCCAGCTGATAAAATCCATCTCAAGCCACACAACTGACAATCACAAAAGAAAGAAGAAACAACAACAATAACACAACCGACTCCTCTTAACCACTTACAGAGGCAAGAGGACGATCAATGCAAAGCGCAACTGCTTCTCTGAGCATCACAAACCACTCTTAAGAAAATGAAAAACGATTTCACATTGCAAAGCTACAGGACAGCCTCTGATCTGACACAACACAACTTTGAATTTGAATACTATCCACCAGAAACTCAGTTTCCATCCCATAATAAGTCAGGGCAAAATCATCAGCTTCTAATTCTTCATTGGCTCTCCCTCCCCGGATTCTAGCTCCATAGACACTTTCATGTTAACTATGAATAACTACGGATGATCTCAAAATGCACCCTACTTTTATGTGAGGGAATATAAAATGTAATGAACACAAAAGTGTGCAGGAGAGTGTACATATTTTCACCGTCTGCTAGGAGTGGAGTAGGAGAGGAGGCTTTTATGTAGTTCACTGGCTAGCCAGCCCTAAAGGCATGTATTTATCCTCTGAAGCCAAGGGGTGTTTCCATCGCCGCCTCTGAACCACTAGACAGGCCCTCTAAGGACTACTATTAGTTCATCCTGGTCATTGCATTGACTTGTTTCTTTGTACGCACTGGTGAAACAAGTAATATCATCTGATTAAGAAATCAAAGAGCAGGGCACCAGGGGCTCATGCCTACACTCCTAGCTACTCAGAAGACTGAGAATCCCAGTCCCGGAGTTGAAGCTCCACAACCAATGAAAGAAAAGAAAGAGAGGGGTGGGGGAGGAAGGGAGGAAGGGAGGAAGGGAGGGAGGGAGGGAGGGAGGGAGGGAGGAAGGGAGGAAGGGAGGAAGGAAGGAAGGAAGGAAGGAAGGAAGGAAGGAAGGAAGGAAGGAAGGCAGGCAGGCAGGCAGGCAGGCAGGCAGGCAGGCAGGCAGGCAGGCAGGCAAACATCCAGGTATTATTTTTGAATCTAGGTACTGATAGGCTGTATTATTTAATGGACTACACACCAAAAAATGTGTAATTAAGTAATTCAATGTGTATGGTTCCAACTGTTGACATTTACTGTAGACACCCCTTCAAATCACAAAGATTCTTGAAGGGTAATAGGTATACTCAATTTAATTTTCCATTATTTATAGGCTCAGAAACACGCCCCCCCCCCGATTTTCTTTTATTATAAAAGACAGAGTAAAGCAATAGCACAAATTATTTCAGAAGACAGTTTCTCAGTTTCACTAAGAAATGAAAAGGGAGTTGGGCACTGGTGTCTCATGACCATAAGCCTAGCTACTCGGGAGGCTGAGATCTGAGATTGTGGTTTGAAGCCAACCCCAGCAGGAAAGAAAGTCCGTGAGACTCTTATATCCAATTAACCACCAGAAAACCACAAGTGGAGCTGTGGCTCAAAGCAGTAGCGCGCTAGGCTTGAGCATAAAGAGTTCAGGAGCAGCACTCAGGCTCTGAGTTCAAGCCCCATGACCAACAACAGCAACAAAAACTGTAAAGGATGTAACTACTTATGTCCCACAATACAATTATCGTAAAAATATAAGAAAAAGAATTGGCAGCATCTGTACTTGAGCCAGTGCTTAAGAACTGTTCTTTCAATAACATTTAGAACACCACACACTTAACACAATGACATAATTATATTACACCTGGCTCAAAAGTGATTACCGCATCTCTCATAGTTTACTCATTTCCTGCCCATGGCAGCCTATTCTTGTTTGCTTACAAAGAAATTTAAATATCCTTCACACATTTTATTCTGGTATTACACAGGCATATACAAATCATTAAACCCTGAGTAACTTTCCTCTTTTCCTGTAACTTCCCTAGAAAGAGATACAAAAGGCAGAGAAGACAGATGCAAACCCAGAAGAAAATTAACTTGACAAACCAGAAACACGGATGTTAAAAAACATCTTTCCCGTGAAGAGAAGTGCTCATAGAGTATTTCCTTCTATCTACTTTTCCGATGCTTCCACTGAGCTACTCTTCCAGCCCAAACAAATGTTTTGTTACTCTGACAGAGAATTTTGTAGGGTGGAAATATATCCCTAAATGTGAAACTTCCTTATACATCAACTTACTTATTTTATTATCTCATAGCCAATGCCTAACCAAAGAAAAGCATTCTTTTTCCCATAGCAAGACATAATAAAATTAGCCATACAAGCCATACTGCTCTAGCCATCTAATTTTGGTAGAAAAAGAGGCTATTTTCAAAAATGTCAACCACATACTTAGAAGCCAGTTAACCACTACGTGGTAAAAGATGCCATACTATTTTTAAAATTGCAGAATCTATTACTAAACTATTTCACTAACTTAGCCATTCATTTGTTTATGAATTTCAGTTCCTACCTTGATGGAGTCTCGGTCTACAGGCAAAACAGCAGCAACACAAGCAGATAACGTGGTGGGAAGAAAGAAAAAAAAATGCTTGTTTACACAAAATCATTTCTTTATCAAACCTCATCTCTGCTGAACAATAAATTGCACAGATGTCAACTATACTGTTACATTAATCATTAACGCTATCAGCTTTGGAAAGTACCAACCTAACTTTGACACAATTTCAGAAGAACCAGAGCTAGATATCTTTACTATTTATGTCCTTTATTGACTTTCCCACTTATAAAAGTATTTGTCATCATGAGTCAATGCTGTACTATAGCATTAAGATAACTGCAAGACAAATATTACAGTGTTTCTAACATCAGAGATAGTAAATTCATGCTTATGTGATAAGGATAATTTACCCAAGATTATAATTCATAATAATGAAACTGAAAACAAGAACACATAGAAGCTTTTCATTATGAGACACACCTTTCAAAACCAATGCCCCGCCCATGTGCTACTTAAATTCCCACAAAGGAATACTAGGAAACTTTTTCTTTCTTCCTTTTTCTGACTATTTTTAAAAAATAAACCAGTAAGCAGCACCCACTGTGACATTGCAGTGTATCTGTCCCTTCATCCTCCTGACAGAAGGGATGAAGACAACCTGTAACTGTGGCTTTCTTAATGAAAAGAATTCATTAACTTCAAGCTTTTGAACAGACTTCACGAGAGGTACTTAAATCAACAGATTTCATTAATTTGGGTTCCATCTTCCTCATTATTAAGGCTGCTAGAACTATTTCCATACCTATGAGTGTCTTACTGTTCTGTACAGGCTCATCTGATTTACAAATAATAGCTAGTTTGGTCAAATACCAAGTGAGCCTTTGTCGGCAACTTCCTCCACCTCCTCATACACAATGTGGCCAAGATTAGCTATTAATGCCACGTATGATTTCATATACAGGACAGCACAGGACTTCATCCTTGATTTTGACTTAAGAATTACAGGGCAACAAGGGATCAGAGGTCATTACCAGGACAAACAATCTCCTGGCCCTTGGGGAGAACAGTCAAGTCCTGACAATCAACAAATGCTTCTAATAATTTCCTGCCATGACAAGTCCTTTGCTTGGTAACCAGTCAACGAAATCCAGAGCACTAGAACCTGGAAACTGCCTTCAGCAGCAGTGACATCATGTCAAAAATGAGCACTCGCCTCTTTGGTGATCATTGTCATGGTGCTTCTTCTCATCTTTAATTGGAAGGTGAGACTGAGCGCCCAGAGCGCTGGAGAGGGCCAGCAGTCCAGCGCTGCTTCCAATCGGGGGGATGGCAGGGGGCTGGAGTCCCGAAGGGTGTGGCGTCAGGGGCACCGGCAGACCATGGCCATGTGATAAATGCTGAGCCTGGAGTTGTTGCTGCTGTGGAAAATGAGACACAGATATTGAATTTGTCCCCTGAACTCATGGCCCAGTCCCCAGGAAGAGAAGAGCAGGTAGAAAGAGGTAATGAGGAAACAGATAATCAAAAATAAATACACAAACACACGCATAGAACAACAAATATGTAAGTCAATACACACCTCTCTGTTGTTTAAAGGAAGGAGAGGGAAAGAGATGTAGAGCTGTAAATGCTGTTTTTATTGCTAAAAGATTTAAGGTGGGGAGTGTACACAAGCGCTGTAAATAACGTAATTTTTTAAGTAATGAAATTAGCTAAGTAACTTTCAAGAGCTGAAATCTGGATTTAACAAAGCCTCTATATTTTGTTCTGAAAAAAAAAGAGGCCTTGCTATCATACATTTCTAATCAAAACATATACATGAATAACTGTTAAAGCAGTTATGTCGAACAAAAAAAGCTGAAAATTGAGAAAATTAGTGTTAAAACAGTTCTCCTAGACCCACTGCACAGCATGGAGAGAGAGTTAATTTGAAAGAGAAAACCGGAATTAACAGCCCAGAAAAGGAAACTGGTTGCAGCCACCGTTTTAAGCCCTATAAGTGTCCTCAGTGGTACTTGAGCAAATTACTAAAGAAAATCTAATGTAGCAAGGCTTGGGTCCTCCTGTAGGCGTGCTCAATAATGCTGAAATAATTGGGCACTCTGTGCACGTTTAGGGATGCTCGAATGCAAAGCTCGAGGCCTGCCCTCATCCTCTTCTCTGGCGGCCGACTCTGTGTTGTGACAGGTTTATTTGAGTGGGACCGTGAGGCATGCACCAGTAACTGCGCTGACAAGAGTTTAAAGTCATTTTTACCAGCACACTAGCAACACAGAAAGAAAGCCCTAGAGAGGACGGAGTGGGGGTGCTTGACCTCAGCTGAGACGGCATCAGCCTCCACCAAAGGAACTGCTGTGTGCAGCCCTGGCTGCCTCTTCTGAGTGGAAAGGGGAAAGAGGAGGGGAAAGGGGGCTGGCAAGATCAACACAGCCCTCAACAGGAATCCCTCCTGCACAAAACCCTCTAACACTACGCCAGCAGAAAGGGCTAGGGACACTCAGCATGACTTCAAACAAGCCATGTTTAGCTCCAGCCAATGCTAGACAAAAAAAAAAACAAAAAATTCAATTCCATAATTTTCTATAACATGAAATTAATCTAGGAAGAAGGATCTTGGAGGAACTTTTTTTATATATTTCAGAGACAAAAAGTGATGTTTTATCTCGTCTCCTTGTTCTTCTGCATGACTTCCTGTATTTGATGATCAAAGTATAGCATTAATTAGCTCTTTTCTCAATTTACTCACATCTTGTTTTCCTGATTATATACACTTAAAATGTGAACACCCAAGGCAAGTTTATCTCCATAAAATGGAAAGCTGAGCAGTGTCAGAGGTTCCATTAATCAAGTTCACAACTGACATCTGCCAAAGCTGTTCCTTACCATGTTTCAAATCAGCTTTTCATTCAAGTGGCTGAAATGATCTTCATAATTTTTACATACTATTATTTTTCAGTGACTAACATGTATGAGCACATATATTTTCTGAATATAAAAATAACATCCATGAAAACAGGAATTATATATGTAATTAACTTCAAAACATCATTCAACTTATCGGCAAAAACTGCTCCATTTCTTTTTCCTTTAAATTCCTCGAATAATTTCACAGGCCTAGTTAACTACAGAGCCACTGCCTATCTCTGAGCTCATTTGGCAAGAATTTATGAGGCTGAATCTATGTCTCTTTTATCTCCTCTCTTATAGACCGCATGATTCTACATCTGACACAAATCCTGGCCAATTGCAGACAAGAAACATTCACACATCATATGATACATTTAAAAAATGTCTATTTTAGTAGATGTTTAAAGGAACGGAGTATCTGCCAAAATCAATAAGTTCAATGACTCTAGTGTTTTATTTTTCTACTCTCAAAGAATGAAACAAAACAAAACACTAACTACCTCCCTTTTTTGTTTGCCCAGGATTGTCTCATCAGCTGAAAATATCCTCTAGTCTGTCTGTTGTACATCCACAGTAAAGACTAGCTAGAAATTCCCAATGGTTCTAGTTCGCCTCAGAATAGCTCTAAAAAGACTGATTTCCTCTTCTTCCTTATGCCTTGCTTGGAGGAAATCAAGTTCTTGTCTCTTCCGAAGTTCTTCTCCACTAGCCCCTTTCTCCTCTTCTTGGTGTTAGCGTTCCTTCAACTCTCCACCTTGGTCCCTGAACAACTCCAGATATTCCGTGGCTGTCACTGTCCTGTAATTGGCTTAATTACCAGCGTCTCTAACCTTTTGGTCAAGATGAATTGCTCATCTATGTGAGAGCCTGAAGTGACCCCAGGAAGCAGAAATCACACTACATTTTAATGGCTTTTCTGAGTTCTGCCCAGGTCTTCAGATGTCAAGTTCTTCTTACCCATACGCTGATCACGGCGCGTGTCTTCGCTCCCTTCCACTCCACTCAACTCACACCGTACCAGAATTGGCAGTGTTCTCCCTCAGCTGTGGCCATCCCATGTATTTTAGGAAAATCTCCACGTTACTTACCTAAGTGGCAATCACCCAACTTAGTTTCACCTGACCCCCTACGGCTTCTGCAAACAACCTGGTTATCTATCCTATACAATTCTTTGTTTCATTTGTTGGCATGTACTGTCTCATAAAGGCATCACCTTTTGGGTGATGCGCAGAAAAGACCTTGACTTGCTGTGGATTGTGAAACTCTGGAGGTATGAAACAACTCTCAGGACCCTTTGTATTCACTGGCATCTAGCTCAGTTGCTCCCGCTGAAAAAAGTCTGCACAAAACTACGATATTACTGAAAATAAAGTAGTTCTTTGGTATTTATTCCCTGCTCCCCTTTTATCTAAGAGTTAAGTTCAAATGTCTTCACATTCAAGAACACCAATGCCAGCCTAACTTTGCAGAATTCTGCACAATATCACCCAGGGAATCTTTTCTCCCACGATGCTAGTCAATTTCGCGAGACATCTCTACCCTACAACTCAGTTTTACTACCCAGCAACACACGCACATGCACAGTGCTCACCCCTGTCTCCGTGAATTGGCATGCTACTCATCCTCTGTACGAAGGCTGCTCTCAGAATTCTGACCCACAGCACTCTCTACCATGGCCTCTCAATTCTGACAGCACTTGAGGCCAATACCATTTATATAACACAACAATCCAAGAAAGCAAAAGGCCTCATTTACATCAAGAAATAACACAGGAAAAAAGCAAAGGGGATAGCAGTGCTCAACACAATGTATAACTCATGTACCTATAACCCTCTATACACAATGTAATGGACTCATTACTTTACTCATGTACCTATAACCCTCCATACAGCATCTTAACGGACTCATTACTTTATTCATGTATACCTATAACCCCTCTATACAGCATCTTTACCACAAATAATTTTTTAAAAAAGAAATAATATGGATAAATGTGCATGTGTCTAAACCCTTTAATTACAGCTATGTCTCTGAGATTTTCCCAAGTACTAGAGATTTCTTACCCTTAGGTGTTCAAACAAATTAGAAAGCAGTATCAGAACAAATTTTATAACCTGATGAATTTTATTTCATGTAATGCCTTGATCTACAACATTTTAAATAAGTTAGATGTTTCTTCTCTAATTCTCCATTTGAACAATTTAAAAATAAACACCAGTGATCTAAAATGAGCAAAACTGATATTCCTGTGATCAGACTTACAGTCTGGTATCTCTAAACTCTTAGGTGTTTAAACAAATTACTACTAACCACAATATTTTTCCTAACTACTTCATCAAAACTAAGAAATTACCATGAGCATATTACTACAGACTTTATTCAGATTTTTCTCATGGTCGCACTAACATCATTTTTCCTGTCCCAGAATTCAAACCAGGACACATCACATTTAGAGCTTTTTAATTTTTCACTTACTGTAACAAAATTTCTTTCAAAGATCTTATGAATGTCACAATCATACTGCTTAATGTAATATGCTTTGAATAAAGAAAATCGGGGGGGGGAGGTTAATGTCCTAACATAAAACTATGTTACCACTCATTATATATACTTAATATCAAATCAAACAAGCATACTCACCATAGTATCCCACAGAATAACGTTGCTCAAGTTTTCAAAATATATGACCATACATAAAATGATAACTTACTACTGAAAGTATATGATTAAAAATGTAGGTACTGAAATATTAGTTGATTTACTACAGGAGTACAAGGCATATATATTACAGCAATTACTATAATAATTAACAAGAATAATAATATTCATATTGATACTTAGCAAAATATTTGAGATCATCTTTTTAAAATAAAAACAAGTCACTACAGGCTTTGCTGAATTTCCACTCTTCTTCATTAAAGAAAATGTGTTTAGCTGACCAAATATCAAACGACATTCAAGAATCAAAATGAAAATGAAAGAAAAACTTAAAAATTAGGTGAATTAATTAAAACTTTTTGCTGTTAGAAAATTCAAAGTACATTCCTCTGGAGAAGAAGACAGGTTTCTTAGAATTTTATTCAAGGAGCCAAGAGAAAGAGAATCTAATGAGCTACCTCTCCATAAGATGAAGAAAGCCCATGGTCCTCTGACCCCCTACACTGTAGGTACCAATCACAGAACAATGAACCTGTAAATGTTTACTACTTTATCCCTACATGAAGAACTATAAAGTGTCTTCTCTTTTTCAACACGAAAGGAATTGAAATGTATATTTAGAGTACCTAGTTCAAGACAGATGTTATTAAAATAATTTGATAACTCAATATCCTGAACAATTATGTACCAACAAATCTAAGAAGGAGGGGAGAAGAGGAAGGAGAATGAAGAGAAGAACAGCAGCAATGACAGATGATCCAGCCTAAGAACCAAGCAAAGGACATACTCTAGTACCAATTAAACATTAACATAAACGTATTCTATGCAACTGCAACTGAGGGAAAAAAATATC